ACATTAGTCTGAGCATTCTGGATTGGATAAAGCTGAAATTACAGTGGTACTTCATTTAATCTTATTTTCTTCTTTTACAAGCAATTAAAGCTTTGCAGATTAAATATCTGGGTCCAAATGCAGTACAGTTACAGTAGAGTACAGTTATTTCCATTTGCAGTGCAATGTGGCGCTGGATGGAAGAGAGACAAAGCATAAAATCAAAGTTCATGAGTGGGTAAAGTTACTTGGTGTCAACCAATTCATTTCTAATCTTCTCAGGGTTTAAAACCATTAAATGAGTCCATCGTGAAAGCAATACTCCCTCCACATCATCATTTCTGTTACTCCTCTTTATAAAAACACGTATTTATATCAGCCAAAGCAGTATACTGTTTTCTATGTTGTGTGTGTTTTTATATTGTGCACAAAATTATACAATATTTCATTCAGATTTGAAATCGAAAGCCATGGACACTTGTATATGTACTACCAAAACATGTCACTATTGTTTGTACATAGTATCTTTAATATATATCACTTTTGGTGTAACTATAGCATTTTGTCAGTGTGTTTCATCTGCCTGCCTTCACACTTTGTCTCCTGAAACTCCCATAATTTCTTAGATAAAGCTACTTTCAGCTGCTCCTTTGTTACAAGGGGTCGCCAAAGCAGGTAGGTCTGCATATTTGACTTGGCAGTGTTATGCCAAATGCCCTTCCTGGTACAATCCCAAAGGGGATTTGTGTCTCTGGCTGGAATTTAACCAGCAACCTTTTGCTTGCCAAGCAAAGTTGTTAAAGACTACACTACAGAACCACTTGTATCCTTTCTTAGATAAAAAGATAAACTGGCTTTGTGAAGAAAGCTTAGGAAACAATTCTAAAAAAAAAAAAGGTTACTGGTCGAGGAGGCGTCTGTTTGCCTTACAGCTGAAATGCAGTGGCCCGGGTTCGAGTCGGATCTCTGGAGACCTTTGCACCCTCTCCCCCTCTTTCCTGTCTACTCATCACTGTTAAACTATCAAATAAAGCCCAAAACCCCCCAAAATAAATGTGAGAAGAAGACGACTCCTCTCTAGAAAAGCTTTATTGCTTAGTTAAAAAAAATATATATATATATATATATCCCTGTAAAAAGGATTTAGGAAAATGGATGCATTATAAAGAAAGATAAACCTGCTGAAACTTTTTTAAAAAAGCTGCTGAACACATGCACATCAACTCCTGCTTGGCTGATGGTGTTAGGTGATAAAACATGTCATAGATCAGAAAACAAAGCGGAACTCTTTAGAGGAATTTGTTCTTAAATCTGTTATCGTATATATGTACCTTTGACTCCCATACCAGTGTCTTTTGATAGAGTATTTATCTGTTTTGGTCTTTATTAAGTAAGTAACTTGTGCCTAATGATGGTTACACACTTAAGGCCATGTATGTTTGTGAAATTAAGGTTTTTTGTTTTTAAATATACGTTTACTCATGTAAAAATATATATCTGAGATAACCACGGATGAAGACAGTGAATATAAATATTACTTTAATGGTACTGAATCCATACAATAAGAGACACATTGAATTCTTGTGCTGAGAGAAATCTTACCTCCAGAGAGATGGGAATTTACTGAATGACTTTATGACTGAGCAGAAGATGATTAAACCTGAGAAAATGCAACATGTGGGTAAGTACAAAGTAGCGCATGTGGTGAGAAGCAAAAGCTGCAAAAGACTAACCACAGTGCTTCCACTGAATGAGAGCATGGCTGGAAAATGTAACAGCTTCGACTCTGCAATGAAAGAC